TGTAAGGCAGAACGCAGCTTGAAACTCGGCGTAGTAACGAAGTGTGGGCTCTGACTGACACGGCCTGTTTGTCCCCTGCCAAGCTGCAGGCGTCTGAGCCAGCAGTAATTGCTTCCTTTAGCCTTGCTCCTGTTTCCGTTGTTTTGGGCTAAATATGTGCACTTTCTTCCAGGATTTGAAATTCCTGATGGAGATGCAGAAAAGCTAATGTGTCCACAAGAGATTGTAGATTACATTGCAGATAAGAAGGATGTTTATGAATAAAAACAGTTCTTCAAAGCCGGGTGAGTAGAAATGTGCTCCTGCGAGTGTCTCGGGTAACGACGGCGCGCGCAGGGTGCACGTGTGACGCCCGCGGAGGGGCGTGAGGCGACTGGACGCCGTACGGCTGTATGGCAGGCGGGAGCCCAGCAGGTCTGGGAGGGAGCTGGCGGCAGCTGCCTGCTCTGAGCGGGGAGGACAAGGTGTACGCGTTTTCCTGAGGCATCTGCTGTTGGAGGGAGGCTGTGGGGCTCGGCGACCTTTCGTCTCGCCCTGCGTGGCACTTCAAGCACTGAGGTTATCCGCAGGTCTTTTGGTAGGTGGCGAATTGACTTTAGTCATGAAAGTCCACCTTTTCAGCGCTCCTCGGCCGTGCGCAGAGCGTGTGGGGTAGGCACCTCCAGAGGTGTGTGATAGCACAGCTTCCAACTGCCCGTGCCGACCGTTTCCTCCCCACCAGCCGCAGCCGGAGACTGGAGCAGGAAAGGAAGCGGGCAGGAAGGGGTTATTGGAGCGGCAGGCCCTCGAGGTGCTCTGGGGCTGCAGGGGAAATGAGCCGGTGGCCTCAGGCCAGTGTGCAGCAGCAGATCGGTCCCTCGCTCCTGTTTGTTCCTGTGCGCGCTTCTGGCCTCCCCCCACACCCCCCTCCCGGGTCAGTGGGGGAGCTGCGCCCCTTTGCCGCTCTCTGAGCCAAGGTGAGAATCCTAGCGATTCTGAAGACCTGTGGACTTGTTACGTGCCTGCTTTCGGTGTTCAGCTTGTCTTGCCTCTGCCTGACCCACTTCTTTCGTGCCTCAAAGTAGTAGGTCTTGGTTGCTGAAATATTAAATACGTGGAATTTTTTTATTTTTTTTTTTAACAGGAGATGTCTCTACCACCAGGACTGGGCTGGTGTCAGTGGGTATGAATATAAGCGCACATGCTGTACCGTTGCTGCTTTCATCGGAAAGTTGTACTTGGACGTTGTATTTAAAGCTGTCTGAATATGTTGTCCTTCAAAAACAAGAAAAAAAAGGAATAAATATATAAGACCACGTTGTGTTGATGCCTTTTCCGTTTCACGCTGCGTGTCGCTGGCTCGCTCTGTTAGCGTTCAGCGAGTGAAGGGCAGTTCAGGGGCGAGTAACCGACTTCACTAGAAACGCCCCTCTCTAACCCAGGCTCTGACCGGCGGCGCAGCCTCTGCCCAGCCGGACCCCGTTACCCCGTGGGATAAAAGCCCCCTCTGCGAGCGCAGCGGGAGGCGTCCGTGGGCCTGTCGGGCTCCGGGCGTGCCTCGCTGAGAGCGTTTCGCCGTTCGTCCTCCCTGCGTGTGCGAAAGCACCAGCAGCACCTGTACGGCTCTGTGCCCTCCGCCGCTGGCGCGATCGCTCTTCCCGTGATCTCACTGCTTGTATTGTCTGCTCTTTCCAATAAACCGCCCTTCTGCCGCCTTCGCTGTTTATTTCATCAGTGCTGGTAAAAACAAGCAAGTTCCATTTGAAAGGCTTCTGCTTTCCTGATGGAAAATAAAGGGGGGGAATGACTTTTCCTGCTGCTGAAAAGCAAAATCGCATCGGTGTTTCTGTAAGCCCAACTGATCTCAGCATGGGAGGCTTGCTTTAAATCTCTCCAGAGACAGAAACAAGTTATTTCTGGACACTACACCATTTTTCCTCTCGGCCAAGAAACACTTTCATATGTCAAAGAGGCACTGCTAGGCTGTGAGCCAAGAAAGTGTCACTCGATAACATATCCTCCTCTGGCAATCAGGGTGGCGGATGATGGAAAATACACCCGGGTCCGCTGGTGCGGCCCATGGTGCCTGCCTGCGGTGTGGGTGTTCTCGGGGCTTCCTCTGGAGCTGCATTTCGCTTCTAAAATCGCAGGGTGCTGAGTCCTCGGCCAGCTGGGTGACCCTCTGCCTTCGGGGCCCAAGTTTCGCTTTCATTGTGTGCGAGGCCCGGGCCCTTGGAAACTCCTTAATGGCTCCTTCACCCCAGATGTGTTCCGAAACGCTTCCTGAACGGGCTGCACGGTGGAACCCGGGGGAAGCAGTCCTCGTGGCCACCGTGCCTGGGGTGGTTTCGAGGCGCCTGCTCAGGGGCAGGGGTGACGGTGGCTGCAGAACCATCCCTTTGCCACCCAGGCGTGCCGGTGCGGTCACTGGTCTCGTTTGGTGGTGCGGCCCTGAGTGATTTGGTGAAGGAGCCGCCGCCAGATGCAGCCAGAGGTGCCCTCGAGGGGCCTTTGCCCTGAGTCGTATCCGCGGCAGAGCCGGGCACAGCTGGAGGTGGCCCTGGGGACAGCCCGCGTCGCGGAGCCCTGGCAGTTCCCAGCGGTGGCTTTTCTGGGATAAACCTGTTTGTTAGAGGAGGGTGGGTGGAACGCGTGTG